GGTGTTGTGTTTAAAACACATTTTCTTTTTGTGTGTTGTTTTTTTTTTTTTTTTTTTTTTTTTTTTTTTTTTTTTTTTTTTTTTTTTTGTCTCCCCCCCTCATCCTGATGGGGAATTTTGTGGACAACGGTTTTATTTTTTATTACAGATTTCCTTTTATTTTCTAAGTCTTACACTTGCATAAATTTTTTCTTTGCCAAAAGTACAGCTTTTTTTTTTTTTTTTAAGTCCACTCAACGCTGTCGCCCGTTTCCGAAACACCTCCTAGGACTTGATGTGTTTGGAGCTGTTAGCTTCGCCTCGTTGACTCAGCAGGAAGTTTATTGGGGTGTTTTATTCGTTTGTTTTTCCGGTGCCGTTTGTTTTTCCGGTGCATGTCTTTTGTCTTCTGTAGGAAGAAGCTATTATTTTCGGAAATAAACTGTCGCTTAAAGGAAATGACGCATGTGCTCACTTTGTTGCCAAAAGTCACGTTACCAGCATTTATTGAGCCATGTTACATATTTTCCACTAGTTATCCGAAAACTTAATTTTCAGCTGATCAGAATTGGCTGTAAAAGTTTAATGCCCGAAGCCCTAAAGTCCTTTTTGCCACCACGTGGAAATGCCATAGAAGGGCTAACGAATAGCATCAATGTGGATGTGCTCTAATGTATTCAGCAACGCGTGAACCGGTCAGCGTGAACCATTACATTATCGATTTTGTTTTTTATAAATGGGGACGGGTGCAACGCGGTTGAGGAAAGGCGGGGGCGGCTTGATCTACATTCCCGGCGTGCAAGCGGCCATGCATGAAATGGGACGCACTCCCATCGAGCGAAAAGATGCATTGATCTCACAGGGTGTTGGCATGTTTGACTTCAATAAGGTTCATTTTCACTTCAGATACTTTTATCATCCTGCAGGGGGGGGGGGGGACAGTTAAATTGCATCAGAAACTGAGTGAAGCTCTGGAGCTATCTTGAAGGACCAGCCAAATGTCGTGTTGCATCAGGTGGACATTTGAAGTCCCCGCCCAAGCTCCCAACTAAATTTGGGAGTTCGAGGTGGAGGCCACGCAACAGAACATACATGTGTTGCATGTGTTTGGAGTGTGAGAACAACGCTGCGAGGGAAATGGCAACAGAGCTTTGGCGCCATCGATCAGCTCTCCAACTCTGGACGAAGGGTCGCAGAGGCTGAAAGGCATCATTAGCTGTTTTCGGTTTGCAGCAGCAGCAGCAGCATCGCAGCCCGGACATGTTTCGGTTTCGGTAGCACTTTAACTTGGAAGGGGAGGAAAAGGCCTTTGCAGACCACATTTCATAACCAGGATGAAAGGTTAGTGTCATTCTTAAAATTAACCTTTTGAATTATCATATCTAAAAGAATTGTTAGGGTTGCTACCTTTCATTTATAAACAAGCGAACAACTGTAATGTGAAACATTGATGGGAGAATGAAAATGAGCATCGTTAGCATGTTCCCGTCATTGTAAACTTTCAAACAATTGCCACTTGAACAAACTCGGAACAGCAACAGCCGTAAATTCGGACGTGCCCGCCAAATATGTTCAGAATCCAGATATGAGTGCTTATAAATCTATCATGCTGGGTCTTTTGATTCCTTTCAGATCTTCTGTAATTAAAAACGAATCGAAAATGGGCGACTGGAACTTCCTGGGCGGCATCTTGGAGGAGGTGCACATCCACTCCACCATGGTGGGCAAGATCTGGCTGACCATCTTGTTTATCTTCCGCATGCTGGTTCTGGGCGTGGCCGCCGAGGACGTGTGGAACGACGAGCAGTCGGATTTCATCTGCAACACGGAGCAACCCGGGTGCCGCAACGTGTGCTACGATCAGGCCTTTCCCATCTCGCTCATCCGCTACTGGGTCCTGCAGGTGATATTCCTTCTTTTCTAGATACCGGAGGAAGTTTCTCGGGGCGTTGAGTTGATCGCACCTGGGCTGCTCTGTTTGTCTTCGAGAATGTTTCGCCTCTCGTCGGAAAAGACTTCAGTTCATGCAACAAGGCTTGCTCAAGTGATACATGGGGGGGGGGGGGGGGGGTGCCTCCAGCTTGCATCTTAACTTATTCAGTCTGAGCCAATTCTAGACCAGGTCTGAAAAGACGTTTAAAAACGTCTTTGGGAGTGAATGAGTGAAATAATTTGCTTCAGTGCTTCTGATAAGTTGTTTTTTTCCATTCCACAGGTCATCTTTGTTTCCTCGCCCTCGCTCGTCTACATGGGCCACGCCATCTACCGGCTCCGCGCCCTGGAGAAGGAGCGCCACTGCAAAAAGGTGGCGCTGCGCCGTGAGCTGGAGTCGGTGGATGCCGAGTTGGCGGACGCCCGGCGGCGAATCGAGAAGGAGATGCGGGGGCTGGAGCAAGGCAAACTCAACAAGGCCCCGCTCAGGGGTTCGCTCCTGTGCACCTACGTGGCGCACATCGTCACCCGCGCCGTGGTGGAGGTCGGCTTCATGACGGGCCAGCTGCTCCTGTACGGGCATCGCCTGAGCCCGCTCTACAAATGCGACCGACAACCCTGCCCCAACGTGGTGGACTGTTTTGTGTCGCGACCCACTGAGAAAACCGTCTTCATGGTCTTCATGCAGGTGATTGCCTGCATTTCCTTGTTCCTTAGCCTCCTTGAGATTATGCACCTGGGCTACAAGAAGATCAAGAAAGGCATTTTGGACTACTACCCCCATATCAAGGAGGAACTGGACGATTACTACGTCAACAAGTCCAAGAAAAACTCGGTGGTGCACCAAGTGTGTGTCGGTACCTCGGCGGGGGGCCGCAAGGCGACCATCCCCACGGCACCAAGCAGCTACACCTTGCTGCTGGAGAAGCAGGGCAACGGGCCCAACTACCCGCTCCTCAATGCCACGTCTGCCTTCGTGCCGGTCCAGGAGGACCCCGATGTCAAGCTAGTGGGCTTGAAGGAGACCAAGGAGGGCGTCCCCAGCCCCACCGACCAGAACAGCAACAACACGAGCAGCGAAACTCGCTCGCCACCCGCTGACAAGGACGTTGAGGAGCTGGACTGCGCCGACTACCCCACTTCACCCGACCCGGTTTCCACCGCCACTCTTCCAGTCATGGCCCGAAAGTACCGGAGACCGAGTCCGCAATGGAACTGCTCCACGGTTCTTGAGGGCAACACCTCGGACAGCGGCAACTCCTACCAGGGCGGCTCTATGAAGCTCCGCGGAGGAAGCGGAAGCGGTAGCGCGGGGCCTCGATCCAGGAACCTGCTCTCCAAGTCGGACAGCGTGAGGAGGCCCGCCAGGCCCCAGAGCCCGGACTCGGGCGGCGATGCCAGCTCGGCATCCCGACGTAGCCAGGATAGCCCCAGCCCCACCGCCTCCTCCCCCAACCGGCGGGTATCGGCGACCAGCAGCGGCGGTAGCAGTTGCAGGCGAGCGCCCACTGACCTGCAGATTTGACGCGCCGCTCTCTGACATTTTGTGACAGGCCATAGTGGGAAGTAATGAAATACAAATACTTCATGACTGCACTTGAGTAGATTATTTGCATGTCTCTACTTCGGTATTTATTTTTCTCAGTAAGAAAGCAGTGGTGGTAAGTAACACAGTACTCATACTTTGTTACATGACTGAAGTAGATTATTCATGTAGCTGTATTTGAGTATTTATTATTGCATATAATTCACTACAAAGGGCGGCCCGGTGGTCTAGTTGTTAGCGCGTCGACCTCACAGTGCAGAGGTCGTGGGTTCGACCCTGGCTCCAGCCTCCCTGTGTGGAGTTTGCATGTTCTCCCCGGGCCTGCGTGGGTTTTCTCCGGGTACTCCGGTTTACTCCCACATTTCAAAAACATGCATGGCAGGCTGATTGAACACTCCAAATTGTCCTTAGGTGTGAGCGCGGTTGGTTGTTCGTCTCTGTGTGCCCTGCGATTGGCTGGCAACTGGTTCAGGGTGTCCCCCGCCTACTGCCCAAAGACGGCTGGGATAGGCTCCACCCCCCCGCGACCCTTGTGAGGATAAAGCGGATCGGAAAATGCATGGATGGATGGATTCACTGTAAAAAGTTATTTCCTGCGTTTTACTGCTGTACTCGAGTACATTTCAGAATCTGTATTTTTTTTTTTTTTTTGCCTTTACTGAAGTACAGGAGTTCAGTCAATACTACTTCTATTACCATTGTATTATTTATTTTTTTTACAAACACAAATATTTCAACTTAAGTACATGGCGTGAGTACTTTTTCCACTTCTGGTGACAGGTGACACTTACCCACCCACAATGCACTGCTCTCAAGCCCTGAGGGACTTTGAAGGGAGCGGCCGGGAAAGTCAGACTCTAATCTATAATGTTTGAGGCAGATATTACATAAGCAGCAGGAACGAAGTCAATCTGTGAAACTTATTTTTTTTAATGTTCTTTTGCCGGAACCTTACGGAAGTTTCAAGTGCGATCAACAACATCTGAAATGAATTATTAGTCAATAAAACCATTAAAGTGAAAATTTGTAAACCGTCACATGAAACAGTGTTTGCTAAGCTTTCTTGAGCTACGACAAAAATCTTATGGCAAACCATCCAACAAAAAAAAGTCATCTCGCTCTCTTTTCATGGGTTAAAAAACGATTTCATCTCTACTGTACTTTTTTGTTTATGCAATAAAGGAACGCATCCCTTCTACTCGGCAGCTTCAGGTGATGGCTCATACTGCGTCAGCTGCAAAACAAAAAATAACATTTGGAGAAAAATGAAGAAAAATTCATGTTTAAAAAATGGTTACCTTCCTCCTCAGGGTCTGGTTCTCTTCCATGAGAAGCTGATACTTTTGTTGCAGCTCAGCTTTTTGAGTGGCAAGAGCCTCAGACTCCTGTGCCATGATGTGACGCTTCAAAAAACTATGTTCGACAGATGGGGTTCAGGTTATAAACATATATATTACTTGCTCGCGCATACTTTTAAGTTCCATATTTAATTAAATAGACACAAACACATGATTCTGTCCTTTTCTTATCAAAGTTAGTGCACCAGATAAATACAAACTAAATAGAATAACAGGGTGCAAGAGACACTCATCTTAAACATTCTGGCTCTTGTTCTGAAGAGTCAATGAAAATTATATTTTTCTATAAAAGGAGCCAAGTGTCAATATTCAGTTTATTGCAAAAAATACCCAACTCATATCTGTTGACTCTTGCATTTTAAATATTTTTCCACTTTCATTTATGCTTGGATTTTAATAAGGTAATACAGTAGTGGAAACAAAGGATACGCCATGGCATTTTCAGGTTTATCAGAATCACTGTAGAGTGCTGTCATTGCTGTGAAATGTGATACAAAATGCACATCATTTAATTTCACATTTTAACATGATTTTGAAATGTTTCATTGACTATGCCTACTTACCGTTTGTCAAGGCGTCAAGGAGCCCACTTTGTTCAAGATATCTTCTAAATTTTACTCTCTCCGACATTATTGAGCCCTTAAAAACAAGGAAAACTTTGCTTAAATATTTGTGAGAAATGTTTGCCAGTGTCCCACAGGCGCGGAGCGCACGACAACAGACGCGTCGCCCCGCAGTCTCTTTGTTAGCGTCTTTTTTTTCACAGTGTATTTGTAACAAATGACTGAACCTTGAACTAACCTTTTTGTGTGCCATGAAGAAAGTTCACTAATTCAACTTTCAGGAAAAAAAATTGACGATTTTAGGAACAGGCTCAGTTAGGTAATTTGCTTCAGGTTACGACGCACGCGTCGCTGTAGCAACACATGACCCCTGTTCCGGTAACTGGTGATTTAAAAAAAATATATTTTTGTTCTGTTTTAAATTAGGTGATTAAATTCCTGGATTGCTATGAATAAAGAACGTTTTTTTTCTCTTTTTTTTTTCCAAATAGGCCTGTCGCATCCAAACGCAAAAGTGAGCGCGATTGATCAACGCTAATCATTAGACCTGACTTATGAAGGACCTGGATTCCAGTCTAGCCATTTTGTAATCCTAACAGTTCGAAGATCTACACTTCCGCAAACCTTCTGACACGTCATCGTTCATGTGACTTCCTTCACATGAACAAAAACAGCACCACAGTCAAAAATGTTTTCACAGAACGACGAGGAGAAACGGTGCGTCTAAAAGTTTATTTTCTTCTTGGAAAGTAACAACTAACACCAGGGTGAGTTGTGACATTTTTTTCCCCCATTTGTCATCGTTCAAAATAATTGAATTGCGAAAACACAGCTAGGTTATTAATACATTAGCTACAAGCGTTTGACGTATTTTTTTCCGACTAAATGAAACCAGGCACGATTACTATAACTAAATTGGTATTATTTGAACGTACAATATTTATGTAGTCATATTAAAAAAAGGCTCCTCGAATTGTCATTGCACGATGGCGGGTTGTATGACTTGGTTGTCAAAACATTAGCATGAAAATCATTATTGTTTTCAAATTTAAGGAAAGGACCCAACTTCTTTGGTTGAGGAGATCTGGCAGCCGACCTGAGTAAAATTCATTGACTTTCAAACAGAAAGAATATTTGAAACGTTACCCATAGGATTAAATCGATGGATTTAGGTGGTCTCTGTTATGGCAGTACATTGCATTTTTTTTGTCAATTTGAAAAAAAAAAAAAATTTGAAAATTGTTTCATAATGTAGTTCCTGGAAATGTCAGATGTGTGTTTTTGAGTATTTGTCGAGCCAATATTTTTTTTGGTGTGGCGATGCAGAAGTAAATAGTAGGACTTTCCATTTCACACCTTGTGACAGCGAAGATCCACATTCAAAACATTCTGAAATTAATCCACGAAACATTGTTGAGAGTACTTCTGAGTACTTTCATAATAGAAAGTCATTTTTGACACCAGTGCTTGATTATTTGCTTTAGCCTCATTAGTTCTGATGTATAAAATCAAATTACAGTCAGCTATTAATCTTGCCAGGATGACTTGTGAGCATTATGACCCAAAGCGGCATTACAGTGCATTCATTGCCCCAGAAGACAGAATGACGTTATGCCTTACATTGCATGTTTTTTTTTTTTTTTGCATCGTAGCCACAGCTTCAAAATGGCCTTTGTCCCTCAAGCGAACTGTCACGCTTCCATGAACTTCACCGGAGAACTTCACATGCCTGTTGTGAAACTGGCTATATCTAATCGGCTCTGTGACCTGCTAGAACAAAGCAAACAGGGGTTATCACACTTTGTACACAGAAAAATTGACAAAAAGCAGCTCATCTTCACGGGATCTTTGTCAGAACTGGTCATACCACCTTCTGACATGCCAGCATATGACTGTAAAGTGAATCTATAAACTCCTGCACCTTTGCAATTCCGCCCCCCCTCCCCCCCCAAAAAAAGAGCTCTCGGCAATTCGTGTTCAAGTGCAACTTGATACGGCACCACACATTGAACAACATCTGGTGTCTATGCAGGTCACAACATTAGGGACACCTGCACATGTCACCCTTAGGCATAACAAGGGTAATAATACAAAAACTGGCTTGGTGGCACAGCCAGAAATGCTTTGCAATGTGATGTTTGGCCGGCTTGCTTCTGAAGTAGTTCCCCAAAAAAAAAAAAAAAAAAAAAAGTATCAAGAAGCCATGCCAGAAAAGACTCGGGAAGTTTCACTTTTTAACTTTTTGTCAATTTTTCCAGGCGTTCTGTTTTTGGGGGGTGGGCTGGTATTTTTCTTCCCTTCGCAGCAGGAAATTTGGTTGGTTGGTTAGTCGAACCACAAAAAAAGTCCCGAAAAGCTATCCCTTGAAAGACACAAGAAAACTGAATTTGACCATTTTTTCAGCCATCATTTCTTCTTGTTGAAAAAATTTATTTATATATATATATATATATATATATATATATTAATACAAAATATATATATTATATATATATTTTTTCATTGAGCCAAATAAAGAAAATACAATCATACGCTTCTGTCACCCATTTTGATTTGTTTGCATTTTTTCCACCGTCATGTGTTCAGCTGACATCCTTTTGCTGACTCTTCAAATGTCTTTTTTTTTTCCCCTTGTTTCAGCACACACTCACACGCAGGCACACCATGGTTCAATGACTCCATTCTTCTTCGCGCCTCCGTGCTCAGCAGGCCGCCATGGCGCATCCAAATGGCAGCTACTCCATCAACTCCGCGCTGTCAGACGAGTCCGAAGACAATGAGCCGCTCCTCCATGATGTTACAGGTGGGTTTGCTTTTTTTTTTTTTTTCCCCAGGGTCAATGTGCAGTCCCAGATTGAAACAAATTAATATAATAAATAAATCTGTGGAAGTAGTATTTTGGATTTAAGTGTCTTTATTTTAAGTGGTAAAAGAGGGGTGGCTTTGGGAACATTGTTGACGTTATTTTTATCTATTATTTTTAAGTGAAAAGGTCCTCTGCTCCTTTCTCAGTTCCTCCACTGTGCTGCTCGGCCCGCTTGAACTTGTCCATCTTGATGTTCATGGGCATCGCCGTGGTCTACGGGCTGCGCGTCAACCTCAGCGTGGCCATGGTGGCTATGGTGAACACCAGCGAGACGATCCCGGGGCTCAACAGGTCCACGGTGCCCATGTGTCCACTCCCCAGTCACTCGGACAACACCAGTCAGGCGCTTGAGCAGCCCGAAGGGGTAAAGACTGAAGATCAAAACCAAACTGTGTCATCGTGCTCCATTTACAGTCTTCGTCCTTCAATGCTTATCCTGATTCTTACTTGTCCATATTTTAATTATGATAGTACTGTATTTTTTTTTTTTTATAAAGTACCACCATGTAAAGTACCATTTTTTGATCTTCTTTGACGTCCGTATTCAGACGCCGCAGTACCCGTGGGATGCGGAGACTCAGGGCTGGCTGCTGGGGGCCTTCTTCTTTGGCTACCTGTGCACACAGATCCCGGGGGGTTACCTGTCGGGACGGTACGGTGGCAGCGTCTTCCTGGGTTTCGGGGTGCTGGGCACAGCCGCCCTCACGCTCCTCACACCTCTTGCGGCCAAGTGGGGACCCTACTGGCTGTTTGCCCTCCGAGCCCTCGAGGGACTGGGCGAGGTCAGTTTGGCTTTTTAAAAAATTATTTATTTCATTCATTCATTTTCCAACCCGCTTATCCTCACAAGGGTCGTTGAACCCAGCACCTCTGCACTGTGAGCTCCTTGCACTATTTATTTACTTATTTATTATTATGATTATTATTTTATTTTTTATTTTTTTTATAAACATGCACCATCAAAGTGGACATCCATCCATCAATTTTCTAATACGCTTATCCCCGCAAGGGTCGCGGGCGTGCTGGAGCCAATTCCAGCTGTCTTCGTGCAGTAGGCGGGGGACGCACTGAACCGGTTGCCAACCAATCGCAGGGCACACACATACTAAAAAGAAAGTTCATGGAGAGACAAAAGCCCCAGAATGTATTCGTTAATTTTTTTGTTTGTTTGTTTGTTGGTGGCGGTCGACTGGTTAGCCCGTCAACCTCACAATGCAGAGGTACCGGGTTCGATTCCAGCTCCGGCCTTCCTGTATGGAGTTTGCATCTTCTCCACGTAGGTTTTCTCCGGGTACTCCGGTTTCCTCCCACATTTCAAAAACATGCATGACAGGCTGATTGAACACTAAAAATTGTCATTAGGTGTGAGTGTGAGCGTGGATGTTTGTTCGACTCTGTGTACCTTGCGATTGGCTGGCAACCGGTTCAGGGTGTCCCCCGCCTACTGCCCGAAGACAGCTGGGATAGGCTACAGCAACCCCCAAGACCCTTGTGAGGATAAAGCGGATCGGAAAATGGGTGGATGGATGGATGGATGCTTGTTGGTTGGTCTGTTATTATTATTCCAGTTTTGTTAGTTCATTCGTGGCAATAAAACGAATGTTTATTTGTTCTATTGTCGTTTGTGGTGGCAGGGCGTGACATTCCCGGCCTTGATGTCCATGTGGGCCCACTGGGCTCCGCCCCTGGAGCGCTCTCGCCTGATGTCACTGTCGGGCAACGGCGCCAACTTTGGTGCCTTCCTGGCTATGCCGCTCACGGGATACATCTGCCAAGCACTGGGCTGGCCCGCCGTCTTCTACCTCTGTGGTGAACTATATACACACACACACACACACACACGCACACACAGGTCCTGCAAGTCAGCGATGGTCGCTTCAATGTTTTTTTTTCCCTCCTCCTTCAGGGGGTGCCGGTTGCCTCTGGGCTGTCCTTTGGTTCCTCCTCGTGTCGGACGACCCCCGCACCCATCGGCGAATCAGCCAAGAGGAAAGAGATTACATCATCGCCTCCATCGGACATCAGGTAAACGCCAGACTTAGGATGCAATCAAGGCACGTTCGTGACGGGGGGGAAATACGTTCCAGAAAGTTTCATCCACGCACGCGTACAACATGTACGGATATTCAGGGAAGCAGTCACGGCTGGTCCGTGCCCGTGCTGAGCATGGTGACGTCTGTGCCGCTGTGGGCCATCATCATCACGCAGATGTGCTCCAACTGGTCCTTCTACACACAGCTCACCTCTCTGCCCACCTACTTGAGCAACATGCTGCACTTTGACCTGAAGTCGGTGGGTCGGGACCTTCTTTCTTCCGCACTAACTAGCTAGTTCATGTTAGTTAAAGCGATTAATTGATCGGTCAGTTAACTCATTCACTCCCAAAGACGTTTTTAAACGTCTTTTCAGACTTGGTCCAGAATTGGCTGGTACTGTATGAGTTAATCACTCACGCAGTAAGCGGATAGGTTCGTTGGTGACAAATGACTTGTTTACAATTCTTCTGCCGTCTTACACTCTCCGCGCGCTGGTCCGCAGAATGGCTTCCTTTCGTCTCTGCCCTACCTGGCGGCGTGGCTGTGCGCCACCCTGGCAGGCTTTGTAGCCGACCACCTCATAGAGAAGAAAGTGTTCAGCGTCACCACCGTACGGAAACTCTTCACGGTCACAGGCAAGCACCGCAACCTATCCGTGAGCTCAGATCCGGCCCAGAAGTGCAGGATTGAGGAAACATGGAGTAACACGAATCATTTTGCTGACTTAATGCTCTACAGGCATGTTGTTTCCTGCCGGCTTCCTCCTGGCGGTGGCCTACTCAGGCTGCAGCCACGTGCTCACCATCGCATTCTTCACACTCACGTCGGCCACCGGAGGCACCAGCGGGGCGGGGGTCTTCATGAACCAGATCGACATCGCCCCGCGGTGGGCCTCGCACAGATGCGCAATTATGCTATGATTACGTTCATTCGTTTTAGAAAAATTTGTCATATGATAAGTACACCATGATTTTTCTTTGACAATTTCTGACTCGCGCATGCGTTTTTCGCCCTGCAGATACGCAGGGTTTCTCCTGGGAATCACGAACACATTCGGGACCATTCCCGGAGTCATTGCCCCCATCGTGACGGGATATTTCACCAAGGATGTAAGAGAAACTCCCCAGTCGCTCGTTTTGTCATACAGCCGGCGAGTGACGTAATTCTGACATTTTCACCGGTCAGCACACCATGGAGGGCTGGAGGAAAGTCTTCTGGGTTTCGGCCACCGTCAACGTGTGCGCCGCCGTCTTCTACATGCTGTTTGGAAGCGGCGAGGTTCAACCCTGGGCCATCCCAGAGGACGAAGCCAACGTGGACGAGGGGAAGAGGACCAGGTCCGTGTCTGCTTAAATGGGAGGAAATTCTGCACTTAAATAGCAACAGTAGCATGTAGGGTTACGCTTTAAAGCTTTCTTTTTTAAGTGGGATATTCAGGATCTTTTTATTTTCTTTTAATTGTTTTGTTTTGTTGTTGTTGTTTTTTTTTTTTTTTTTTTTTTTTTGGTTTTTTTTTTTTTTTTTTTTTTTGTCGTCGTAATGTTGTTTTTATATTCAACATTTACGCACCGGTTGGTTTTAGATGGGGAGATAGGTATAAAAGAGGAGGAAAACAGGTTTTGAGTAGCCAGGCGATGGAACAGTGGGCACAACAAAAGTGAAAAGTGTTCTCAAAACAACAGCTCACCAGACTGTTAAGTTTAACTCAATCAGTGGGCAGGTTTTTTTGGGGGGGGTGACGGAAGCAGTCGTCGCTGTCGCAGATGCCAACCTTGTTTAATTAGCTGAATGTGTGATGCTGCAACAGTTGTGTCTCACTTGGGTGAGTTGTGTCTGAAAGGCGCAGGCGAAAACGCTGGATTTATAAGATTAATATCATGGATTACCATTATTTTAATGGTTTGTTTTCTTAACAAAAGTACAGTTACAGAGGTAAAGGCTCATTTAACCTGTTGACCAAATGAAGCACTTTTTACACATACGCACACACAAAAAAAAAAAACAACAACCACAAACTTGATAGTATTTAAGCATAATATGTTTTTATGGCAACTTTTAGGGGGGTGGGGGTGAATGAAACAAAATATTGAAACGTCAAAGCACGTGTTCAGTTATTTATTTTACTTGTCCGTACCACCAGCTTGAATTTTTCACCATTTTCATGTACCGTATTTGTACCTTGTTACGCAAGAAAAAAAAAGTTTTTCATGGACAGAATTTAAATTAAGATTAAAAAAAAATGAAGCGTTTCTCACATTTGCACCATTTTGTGTTTATTTTCTTTTCCAGGAGCTATTAAGAGTCAATGAATAAATAATAGAGCACACCAAAGCCTACATCAGTAACATGAGTGGAGATTTTTTTTAATTACTTCTCCGAGTTACTTTTAGGCATCCTTAGTTCACTCAAGTTAAAAGTTGCTATGTAAAGCCAAACTATTGTCCAGTGAATCCCTGAATACAAACGTACGTCCTTTTATTTATGGCCAGCAGATGGCACTAGAAAAACTAACTGATCGGCGACCAACAATGACCTGAATATTTAAGATCGTATTTAAAATATAAACACTTCGTCCCAAGTATACCACAATTACTAATTACTCGGTACTGTACCTACAATCATTCGGTATTTTTTTTTTACTCCATTTATAAAATATGTTGAGGGAACAGAAGGAAACAAAAACCAAAACGGAGTGGTGGCACCTTACCATCGGTGTTTACGAAATTGATTATTAGATTCAATTTATATGTTAGAATCAATTTTTAAAAAAAACAACATTGTGTTCCTCAACGATTTTTTTGGAATGTTGCCTCACAGTTGCCGTCGTTTGCATCAGCCGGTTGATGACCGTTAACCCGGAAGTACTTCTTACATCACAGCGGTATCGCTTGCAAAATGTTTCCCTCCTGTTGACGTTGTTCAAATCACTTTTTATGGCATTTGTTTTGCGAATCATGTTTTTTAATACACATCACCTCACCTGGTTTTGACTTTTATCGATGTTTTAAAGTTACAATTTAAACATCAAGAATAAGTTTAAACATGTCTAATGTGACAATGATGTGAAACACAATATTAAAATGTACTTCCTACATCACAGCGGTATCGCTTGCAAAATGTTTCCCTCCTGTTGACGTTGTTCAAATCACTTTTTATGGCATTTGTTTTGCGAATCATGTTTTTTAATACACATCACCTCACCTGGTTTTGACTTTTATCGATGTTCTAAAGTTACAATTTAAACATCAAGAATGAGTTTAAACATGTCTAATGTGACAATGATGTGAAACACAATATTAAAATGGAACATGTGATCTCGATGGTTAGGATTATCCTCTTTTTATTTTTTACATTTTATTGATTTGCATTTGGTTTTGATATAAAGCATTTGGGGCAAATACTTTTTTTTAGTCAATAGGTATGATTGCGTGTACCTTTAATCATTATTTTAAGCAGAGGTCAAGAAATGTGTCATGTTGAGTTGTTTCACTCGTCAGTTGAGTTTCAGGCATTGTTCGGACAAAGCAAAAAGGCCTCAGGGTAGAGGCTTGTCATACCAACAGAAAGACACCCCACACAAGTCTTTGCTCTTGTGAGAAAACCAAAAATCTTAACCAGACTTTTATTCGCTTGTTGTTCACCCTTTTACACCTTGGACGTAATGATGCGTGTGGAGGAGCGAGTGCTTTTGTCGGCTGCCAACCGGCCAACTTTTGCAAGTACAAGCGACTGTTGCAAACACACCTTATTTGCATCAACTGTTCCCAGATGCTGTTTGCATAGCACATGCTGGCACCCTAATTGCGTTGGGGTCCACCGTGAAAGTATCATGAGGACCAATATTGAAATCTATTTGCCATTTGTTATATTTGAACTGGATTCACTCTGTTGTCTACTCTGGCAATGCAATACCCGCAGTATCACTCAAACATTTATATTATCGTATGTCACACTGACTTCCGACGAAAAAAACATACGTTTGATAAAATACGTGCCTGCTTGACATAGCTGGCAACAGTCTACACAGGATAGTGCGATAAAAACAAACAAACAAAAAAACAAAACAATTTGAACAGGGTTGTGTCGACTTTGCTATCCATTGTCAATCTCTCTCTCTCTCTCTCTCTCTCTCTCTCTCTCTCTCTCTCTCTCTCCCTCCCTCTCTGTCTCTCTCGGTCAGCAGTTGCTTCCCATCTCCTCTGTTGCCATGACAACCGTTCATACCAGTGACTCATCTGAGCGTCCGCCAGTCGGCTTCTTGACTCACATTTTTACCTCGTGCCACGACCCGCCTCTGGGGATGTGATGACTAGCCTGAATTTCCATAACGTGTGTGTTCACGTCTCAGAAGTTTGCTCCACATTTTAAAGCCTGTTTTAGGGCCGACTCGAACATTAATCATTGGCACTAGTTTGAATTTGTTTAATTCTGAACATAATTATCCTTGGGTTTTTTTTTTTTTTTTAGCGCTACAGGTTATAGTTTTGAAATCGTTTTGCTTGTTCTCATTTTTTAACCTGGCATTTGAAGAGGGAGGGTGTACACTTTCTATATCTAGAGTGCTAGGTAAACTTGCACGTTTTTAAACTGGCAGTGCAGATGAGCATTGCCGTTTGCAACATAATACAGTAGATATCAAAACATGACAAACCTGTTTCCCCCCTCCTCCCCCACTCACTCTCCCGAGAAGCCCCAGAAACATGGCGCCCCACCATCCTGGCAGGAGATTTAAATGACAAGTCGCCACTCATCCAGACAACAGTCGTGCAGTGTTTTTTTTTTTAATACCTGATACTGTACCTGAACTCAATTCACAAGTGCCTCCACCTCAAACCCAATCAACGCAGCCGTTAAAGTCAACGACCGCATCCTTAAAGCAGCTTAAAGTCCATTCCAATGCAAATCTCATCCGCAGTGATGTCATCATCACCCTATTGTGTTCCTTTTGTGTACATGAGAGTATTGGTTATATAGTGGACAAAAAATGTGCACACCCCTGTTCAAATACCAGGTTTTTGTTGTGTACCTTGGATGTTTTTCTTTGTCTGGAAATAACTGTTACAAATGGGAATCAATGTTAACACGAAACCTTTCAGGCTTCTGTGTGAAACCAACCAAAAATGTTCGGAAAGGCCTTCTACAACAAATGAACTAATTTCAAAACAAATTGACAAGTGTGTGCTGACTCCCATTTAGCATGTGTATGAATGTGATCAGTGAATTCTAAACACAACCAGATCTGCAGTCTTAAGAAGGTGTGCAAACTTGCACAACCACGTCATTGCAATTTTTACATCTAAGAGACATTTCAATTGAGTTATACAAAAATATGGCATAAAAACAGGGATGAGTATACTTTTTATGTTCATGCGACCATTGTGAGGATAAACGGACCAGAAAATGGATGTATGATATATATTATTATTATTATTATTCATACATATCTGCTGTGTTTATTTCCTCACCAAATGCATAAGTGTACACAATTTATGGATACTACACAGTTCTTCAGCTAGATCACTTTCTCTCTCTCTCTCTCTCTCTCTCTCTCTCTCTCTCTCTCTCTCTCTCCCTCCCTCTCTGTCTCTCTCGGTCAGCAGTTGCTTCCCATCTCCTCTGTTGCCATGACAACCGTTCATACCAGTGACTCATCTGAGCGTCCGCCAGTCGGCTTCTTGACTCACATTTTTACCTCGTGCCACGACCCGCCTCTGGGGATGTGATGACTAGCCTGAATTTCCATAACGTGTGTGTTCACGTCTCAGAAGTTTGCTCCACATTTTAAAGCCTGTTTTAGGGCCGACTCGAACATTAATCATTGGCACTAGTTTGAATTTGTTTAATTCTGAACATAATTATCCTTGGGTTTTTTTTTTTTTTTTAGCGCTACAGGTTATAGTTTTGAAATCGTTTTGCTTGTTCTCATTTTTTAACCTGGCATTTGAAGAGGGAGGGTGTACACTTTCTATATCTAGAGTGCTAGGTAAACTTGCACGTTTTTAAACTGGCAGTGCAGATGAGCATTGCCGTTTGCAACATAATACAGTAGATATCAAAACATGACAAACCTGTTTCCCCCCTCCTCCCCCACTCACTCTCCCGAGAAGCCCCAGAAACATGGCGCCCCACCATCCTGGCAGGAGATTTAAATGACAAGTCGCCACTCATCCAGACAACAGTCGTGCAGTGTTTTTTTTTTTTAATACCTGATACTGTACCTGAACTCAATTCACAAGTGCCTCCACCTCAAACCCAATCAACGCAGCCGTTAAAGTCAACGACCGCATCCTTAAAGCAGCTTAAAGTCCATTCCAATGCAAATCTCATCCGCAGTGATGTCATCATCACCCTATTGTGTTCCTTTTGTGTACATGAGAGTATTGGTTATATAGTGGACAAAAAATGTGCACACCCCTGTTCAAATACCAGGTTTTTGTTGTGTACCTTGGATGTTTTTCTTTGTCTGGAAATAACTGTTACAAATGGGAATCAATGTTAACACGAAACCTTTCAGGCTTCTGTGTGAAACCAACCAAAAATGTTCGGAAAGGCCTTCTACAACAAATGAACTAATTTCAAAACAAATTGACAAGTGTGTGCTGACTCCCATTTAGCATGTGTATGAATGTGATCAGTGAATTCTAAACACAACCAGATCTGCAGTCTTAAGAAGGTGTGCAAACTTGCACAACCACGTCATTGCAATTTTTACATCTAAGAGACATTTCAATTGAGTTATACAAAAATATGGCATAAAAACAGGGATGAGTATACTTTTTTATGTTCATGCGACCATTGTGAGGATAAACGGACCAGAAAATGGATGTATGATATATATTATTATTATTATTATTCATACATATCTGCTGTGTTTATTTCCTCACCAAATGCATAAGTGTACACAATTTATGGATACTACACAGTTCTTCAGCTAGATATAATCCTGCTGCCTATTTTCTCTTCCAATAATTACATTTTTAAATTTATTTACTTTTAAATGTTTTAAAGTCTTCTGTTAATGTGTTTAAATGTAGTCGGTACACTTTTTTTTTCTTTTTTTTTAGCAATTCTGGTAAGCTCCTTTTGTTTTATCTGCATTGCTTTGCTGTAATTGACTCTCATCTGTCATTTGAGATAGTGGAGTGTGTTTTACCCCTTAGTCCTCCTTATGGCAAAATATGCATTTACAAATATGATTCTCGGATGGAATCCCTTGATGCCAAGGGCCTTTTCAGCCCCATTTCACCCCAACATGTTTCTCGCCGTGAACTCAAGAAGTGAACGCCATGGTTGAGCATCCGGGTACTCGCGTACTTCACGTTTCATGCGTCGTGACATCACATTAACGCAGCGCAATTTGATTTGCTCGCCTCGAGGCAGAAGAGGGGGGGGTGGTGACCGGAAATCACGGTACCCACGATAGTATAAAAGCTGACGTCGAAAGACTTTAGTTCTCTTTCTGTTACCTGGCAAAGGGGCAGCAGCTTTGGCCGCGAAAACCCAGAAACACCGGTAAGTGGCCATTTTCAATGTCCTACTGCTTCGCAATAGGAGCTAGCTTTTCCAGCATCCTCCCATCAGTCTCCTGATGAAACCGTTATCTGGGCGTTTACACTTTTTTTGTATTACCTTGGCGGCGTGTTATATAATTAGCCGCATGTCAGTTCTAAAACCGAATTTAAACGAACCTCTACATTCATTCGGACTATTATCAAATGTATGCATCCTTCGATTCAGGATTGGTGTTAAACTAGCTTCCTCGGACTTTGATTACGAGAAGGACAAAGGGAGTGTCCTAAAATGGCCGCTCCTTTCTTTCCTTGTGCAATATGTGTCTTGAAGACTGCCACGTCTGCGCTTCTGTACCAGAAGGCATTTTGAATACCCTTTTTATATTGAATGGAAAATTACGACGTGGTATTCGAAACACGTGTCTGGTCCGGCCTGGGCCCCCGGCGAGGCCTGTTAGCATCGTGCTAGCCACTAGCTAGCCGTCTGGCTTGGCCTTATGATACCGGCGCGCTGAAGCGAGAAATTCCAACGAGTTAAACAATTGGTTTTACTTTTAATTTGCCGATTCGCATGTAGTTACTATAGGTTGCTTAAAAATAAAATTTTCGTCCTATAACCCCATAATTTATTTTAATAGAAACTACAACAATGGCCAAGGAAAAGACGCACATCAACATCGTGGTCATCGGCCACGTCGACTCTGGCAAGTCCACCTCCACCGGTCACTTGATCTACAAGTGCGGTGGCATCGACAAGAGGACCATTGAGAAGTTCGAGACTGAGGCCGCTGAGGTATTTTTTTTTTTTTTTTTTTTGCGCTGCAGTTACTGCACTCTTTCAAAATGGCGGCGCCAGCGTGCTCTCGCTGAGCGGTCGGTAAAAGGGCGTGCCCGTTTCTGCGCATGCGCAATGGGTTCTTAAATCTCCCAGAATGACTTTGCAAGATGCCATGGTGAAAACCCGTTCTGACTTTTTGTTGGTTTTTTTTTTGGGGGGGGCTAAAAATTATTTTGCTAAATTTATGTGGAAATGTGTTCTCAGATGGGCAAGGGCTCCTTCAAGTACGCCTGGGTTCTGGACAAGCTGAAAGCAGAACGTGAGCGTGGTATCACCATTGACATTGCTCTGTGGAAGTTTGAGACCAGCAAGTACTACGTGACCATCATTGATGCTCCGGGACACAGGGACTTCATCAAGAACATGATCACTGGAACATCTCAGGTAATATAAGGAATGCAAACTAAAGACCTTTACTTATTTCAGTGGAGTAATTGTCTTTGAAATTCCAGGCCGACTGCGCTGTGCTGATCGTCGCTGCCGGAGTCGGTGAATTTGAGGCCGGTATCTCTAAAAATGGCCAGACCCGTGAGCACGCCCTGTTGGCCTTCACCCTGGGTGTCAAGCAGCTCATAGTTGGCGTCAACAAGATGGACTCCACCGAGCCCCCTTACAGCCAGAAGCGTTTTGAGGAAATCACCAAGGAAGTCAGCACCTACATCAAGAAGATCGGATACAACCCCGCCACTGTTGCTTTCGTCCCCATCTCTGGGTGGCATGGAGACAACATGCTGGAGACCAGTGACAAGGTGAGAAGCAGGTGCCACCTGTAGGATTTGTGAATGATCATGAATGGAATTTTAAATTTGTATGTCTTTCTAGATGGGCTGGTTCAAGGGCTGGAAGGTTGAGCGCAAGGAGGGCAATGCCAACGGCACCACTCTGCTGGAAGCTCTGGATGCCATCCTCCCCCCTTCACGTCCCACAGACAAGGCCCTCCGCCTGCCCCTGCAGGATGTCTACAAAATCGGAGGCAAGAGGCGTGATGCCATTTTGTTCGTAACTCTAATGAATTGGCAGCAACAAACCTACTGTCTGTCCAGGTATCGGAACAGTGCCCGTGGGTCGTGTTGAGACTGGCATTCTGAAACCTGGCATGGTCGTCACATTTGCTCCCACCAACTTGACCACTGAGGTCAAATCCGTGGAGATGCACCACGAGTCCCTCCCTGAAGCCGTCCCCGGCGACAATGTCGGCTTCAACGTCAAGAATGTGTCTGTAAAGGAGATCCGTCGTGGTTACGTTGCAGGCGATAGCAAGAACGACCCACCCAAGGGTGCCGATAACTTCAATGCTCAGGTGAGCATCCTGCGTTGGGATTGAACCTGATGTGACCAGTTGGCACATACTAAATTTAAAAAAAAATATATATATATCCCCCTCTAGGTGATCATCCTGAACCACCCTGGCCAGATCAACGAGGGCTATGCCCCCGTGCTGGACTGCCACACAGCTCACATCGCCTGCAAGTTCAAGGAGCTCATTGAAAAGATCGACCGTCGTTCCGGCAAGAAGCTTGAGGACAACCCCAAGTTTGTCAAGTCCGGAGATGCTGCCATCGTCAAGATGATCCCCCAAAAGCCCATGGTGGTGGAGCCCTTCTCTGCTTACCCTCCCCTTGGTGAGAGCTCTGACACAATCTGGTAGACACAGTTGCATGTGACATTTCTAACACTCCTCCCCCTGCCATTTCCCCAGGTCGCTTTGCTGTGCGTGACATGAGGCAGACCGTGGCCGTTGGCGTCATCAAGACTGTGGAGACCAAGGAAGTGAGCGGGAAGACAACAAAGGCCGCAGAGAAGGCCCAGAAGAAGAAATGAATGGTCGTGCAGGACATCCAGCAAGGGGACGTGTGCCGACAGCAGCTGGCCACCCCTTCTTCCCCACTCTCCTCGCCCCACCCCGGATCATCTCTGAGGCACAGCTCTCTGCTCAAGGACTGGCTTATGCTGATTAAAACTCATCGCAAAAGTTTTCGCAGGAAAAAAGGAACTTTGCGGCTTTGTCAGTCACCCGAATCACATGATGGTGCCGGTGCCTCTTATAAGATTTGAAAAGGTTTAGAGGTATATATTGGATGTTCAAATGCCACAAAATTGGATTGCAAACGAAAGCTGCTGGTAACTAATAAAAATGTATTTGAAAAAAAATGGAGACCGCTTGTAAACTTGTTTTTCTGCTCAAGGACCTTGGCGCTTAACTGTGAGCATGTTATTAAGCCAGTTACTCAGGTATGTATGTCAGTCTGGCCTATGACTCCGGTTACTGAAATGATGACAGGTTAGGGGACTTGACTCCACCCTGTTCCCATGTGTATAAAAGCCTCAGGTATTTCCGGCTCTGTCTTTTCACCCATTCAGACCCAGGTGGACTACCTGTTGCCTTTCACAGGTTGGTAAGATTCTATCCACACAATCTGAATTCTCAACTCGCTCCAATGGAAGAAGTGTAAAATTTTGTGTATCAGTTGGCAACGTATTTTAACATGACTACAAGTAAGTTGGGAAATTCTCTTGACATACTGAATTAAACATTTGACATCGAGGTCCGAACCGTAGTTTGTGGTCAGAAAGTTTTCTTTTCTGTCGGTTATGTTCCCATCCACATGCGCGCGCCGGCGCCGCCACCGCCGCTGTGTGCGAGCACCAGCTTCAGTTCGGACGTGACAATATGGCGGCGGCTCAACATGGAGGCAGAGCACGTGATTTACAAAGGCGTGGCCTCGACTGAGAAATGACGAACCGAATTGACAAAAGCATCGATAGACATAAATGTTGGGTTGGCTTCGTTTAACAAACATGACTCGGAGATTAATTACTAAAAGTGATCGTTCTTTCTCGGTCAGTAGCTCAAAATGGCCAGGGAGAAAATCCACATCAACATCGTGGTCATTGGCCACGTCGACTCCGGGAAGTCCACCACCACCGGTCACTTGATCTACAAATGCGGCGGCATCGACAAAAGAGCCATCGAGAAGTTCGAGAAAGAAGCCGCCGAGGTTGGTAGTCATCTTCCCCCCCCCCCCACCTCTCTTTTCGTGCTGCTTTTCATTTCCTGGCTGTTAGTGCCACCTACTGTTGTAACTCGAACTCTACACCATTGTATGATTGCGAGCTACAAGTGAAACTGTACCTAAATGTAATCTAGCAAGTAAATGTAGCTCAGAAACTGCTGCCACACCTAACTTGGTGACCAAAACGAAAAGTGTAAAGGAAAGCCAGAACATCTGAAGCTCATTTGGGGTTGGTCTGAGGGCATTAAAATGTTGGCAGTTTTGGGCTAACTCAAGATGAATTTGGATGTGGTACGTTCATTCTGAACATAACCGCATCCCGGCTATAGGAGGGTGTGCATACATGTGCAAACACATTTCAGTTTTTTGTTACCAACCCCTCACCATTTTTCAATTTTTTTGTGTCCACTGGACGTAAACAATTACCACTGAAATTTACAACATATAGTAAATGAGATTCCCCCTCCCCCAGATGGGCAAGGGGTCCTTCAAGTACGCCTGGGTGCTGGACAAGCTCAAGGCCGAACGGGAACGCGGCATCACCATCGACATTGCTCTGTGGAAGTTCGAGACTGAGAAGTACTACGTGACTGTCATCGATGCCCCTGGACATCGTGACTTCATCAAGAACATGATCACTGGCACCTCTCAGGTACTTTGAAACATCAACACACATGCGTTGTGCACTGTTGACAGTGTTATCCATACTTTATAATACAACACTTTGCTTGACTGTTAGCTTACATCATGATTCTTTGGTACAACACTTTACATTTGTTATATTATGTTGACAATTGATTTGAATGAATTCCAGGCCGACTGCGCCGTGCTGATCGTCGCTGCCGGCGTCGGCGAATTTGAGGCCGGTATCTCCAAGAACGGGCAGACCCGCGAACACGCCCTGCTGGCCTACACCCTCGGCGTGCAGCAGCTCATCGTTGGAATCAACAAGATGGACTCCACTGAGCCCCCTTACAGCGAGAGCCGCTACCAGGAAATCACCAAGGAAGTCAGCGCCTACATCAAGAAGATCGGCTACAACCCCAAAGCCGTTCCCTTCGTCCCCATCTCAGGATGGCACGGAGACAACATGCTGGAACCTAGTGATAAGGTGACGATTCGCCCGCACTCGTGAGTGACTGCCAGCCGGTATGCAAATTTGCAAAGCCTGAAATGTCTTAATAATTCGATATATTTCCTAATGTCTTAAAGATTTTTTTTTAAATATATAGTAAATGGCACTCTATCATGCAACATTTTTGGTTTCAACTCAGTGCACATTGTGCTGCTGCTTGTTCGCTGCTGCGTAGAATATATTACAAATATAGCCGCTGTGTGTTTTTGTTGCTTTCTTTGTTTGATCAGATTTCTTTCAATTCGATTTTGAGACGTCACCAATTTGGAATAAGGTTAAGAAAAAGTATGGAATTGCAAAAAGTCAAACGTGTCGAAAACTGTGTGGTTGTAACTGTGACATTTGTTTGTCTCTGTAGATGAGCTGGTTCAAGGGCTGGTCAATAGAGCGCAAGCAGGGCAATGCCAATGGTCGCACCCTGTTCAATGCTCTGGATGCCATCCTCCCTCCTGAACGTCCCACCCAAAAGCCCCTCCGTCTGCCATTGCAGGATGTCTACAAAATTGGAGGCAAGTATTTCTAATGTCTCATCTTCTAAAACCAAATCAACAATGGCTGCTTTCTTGATCCAAGGCGTACATTTTAAAAGATAAAACGGCGTGCCACCAAACAAAAAAAAAAAAACGCCACAAAAAATATATAGTGTTCACTATCCTTTCTGTAGAACATATCCTCAGCTATTTGCATATTTTTGTGTTCTATCTGTAATGCTCCAAGATGCCAACAACATGGCGCAAAGCCCAGCCGGCCGGAACGTCATCATTGGTGTCAAGGAAGTATGTTAGAGTGGTAGTGAGTTGGGCTGTGTTATTTCCTATCCAGATTCTTAACACAAATTCATGGAACACAATTGGAGGGTCGCGATGTCGGACAGTAATAATAATGATAATATATAATTTATTAAAAAAAAAAGGAAGGAGGGGGCGGTGGAATGACCTGGGAATAATTTTCCAACCCCCCAAAGTTGCACCCGGCAGACCCCTACGAGACTCCAGTTTGGTGAGATGCTTAACGAAGCTTATGAGAGCATATGCTAAGCGCCTCCCGCCCCCCCGCTCAGGTATCGGAACCGTCCCCGTCGGCCGCGTGGAGACCGGCATCCTGAAGCCCGGCACGGTTGTCACCTTCTCTCCCACCAACCTGACCACCGAGGTCAAGTCCGTGGAGATGCACCACGAGGCCTTGTCCGAGGCTCTGCCCGGCGACAACGTCGGCTTCAACGTCAAGAACGTGTCTGTGAAGGAGATCCGCCGCGGGTTCGTGGTGGGCGACAGCAAGAACGATCCTCCCATGGGAGCTTCGAATTTCAAATCTCAAGTGAGTCAAAAGAAAAGTTTTGTGTTTATCTTTTGTGTTCAGTAGATAATACCCCGTAACCTCATCTCCGCATTTTTTTCTCGTGCAAGGTCATTATTCTGAACCACCCGGGCCAGATCACCAGCGGCTACACTCCTGTGCTGGACTGCCACACCGCTCACATCGCTTGCAAATTCACCGAAATCCTTGAGAAGATCGACCGTCGTTCTGGCAAGGTGCTGGAGGAAAACCCCAAATCTGTCAAGTCCGGAGACGCCGCCATCGTCAACATGACACCAATGAAGCCAATGACGGTGGAGGCTTTCTCTCAGTACCCACCCCTTGGTGAGCGCCCTTTGGCAAACCGCAACGTGTTGGCACAGGAAAACACTATTGAAAACGTGACACCCCCCTCCCCCATCTAAAAATATTCCAGAGTCTAGAATTAACAAAAAAAGAGGAATAAATTGTCCGCCTTGTTTTTACTGACCATTTTACATTTGTTACCTCCTGACATAAATGGCATACAGATGATTTTATTTTGAAAACAAAAAAGCTCCTAAAGTGCACATGTACATACACATGTGGTAATGATTCTCTGTAATTTCTCTGAACATCCCAGGCTGAATTTTGAGCCTCATCCTCAATACAAAGATCTTCCCTTCTCATTCGAGAGAAATCAATCAATCTTCAGGATTAGACAAAACTCTAGAGCCATATTGTGGCATGAAAGGGCCATAAATGTATCTCAAATCACCAATCATCATACTTCATTGCAATGAATTGAAATGCCATCAAACTATTGCAGTTTCTCACACATTTTTTTTTTGTACATATATTTTTTTTAATAAATCAACGCAAACTCAATTCAGTGGACATTGTGTTACTCCTACTGGTGTTTTGGCCACGTGTGGGTAGTATAATACAGACATGATTTTACACGGATAAGGTCAAAATTCCTCAGTAAACCGCTGTAATAGTAGCCATTCTTCAGAGGATAAAGTATATCCCCCTGTGTGAGGATTGTTATATTTTGTAAAAATGCATTCAAAGACATTTTTAAAGGGTAATAATGCTGCAACCGGAAACTTAACACACCCTTGCTTGTCATTGCAGGCCGTTTTGCCGTGCGGGACATGAGGCAGACGGTGGCCGTCGGTGTCATCAAGTCAGTGGATAAGGCCCCTCCCACCGGCGGGAAGGTCACCAAGGCCGCACAGAAGGCACAGAAAAAATGAATCGGCATCATGCGGGGTGCGCAACAGAAAGTCGCCGGCGTGTCCTCCAACTGGCCGTTTTCTCCTCTGATCAGTTCGCTCCTCAAGGACTGGCTTCTGCTTATTAAAAATCACTGGAAAAGTGTCCGTAGGAAAGGAGGACATGCCTTCCTTTTTGGAATAAATGCAATCTTACTGTTACATTGAAGTCAGAAAAATAAACACATGATGTGTGACCAAATCAAGCTTCTCTTCTTTGTCCGTTCTAAGGGAACATATTAGCACGTCTCATCATTTGCAGTCTGTTAACCAGTGTATGAATATATATCGAATTTTCAGACGACTGGCCGAATCTAATGTCACCAATACCTTTCAATAGCATGAACACAGACTCAAAAATAAATGTTCATGTCCCCCAATAGTTGTTGAGCATCCTTGGGTCTCTTGAAAGGAGCTACCCGGAGATAAATCCGAGACATTCTTAAATCTGAGCTGTTCTTGGTAACATCCATCAATAATATAGATACCGTGTGCACATAAACAGAAAGGCAACTTGTTGTTGGAAAGATGCTAGTCTGATTGCAGACTACTGTTGAGGTGCCCTTGAGCAAATTATGATACAGTAAATATTCATACAAAATGGGAAGTGCAATACTGCTGACCAATTCCAAAATGTTCAGTATTTAAAACTGTAGATATGATTATAGTTAATTCATAAATTCACATGAATCGCAGGGCACACATGGACAAACGAGCATTCGCACACATCGACAATCACACCTAGGGACAATTTTTGACTCAGCATGACTCAGATCTGATCTTAGTTTTACTGTTTGGTGCCTTCTACCATCTTTGTTACTGATTTATAGCTTTATTGTTGTATATATGTTAGTTGCTCCATGTACAGCACTTTGTATGCAGCGATGGCTGCTTGAAAGTGCTCTATAAATACAGTTGAGTTGAGTTATATTAACCTGCCATGCATATTTTGGGAAAATGGGAGGAAACCGGAGTACCCGGAGAAAACCCACACAGGCACAGGGAGAACATCCAAACGTCACAAAGGAAGGCCTGCACCTCTGCATTGTGAGGTGGACGTGCAATTCAGTCGACCGCCCTTGTATAAGTCAATACATTTTTAATTATTATTATAATAATTATTTTCGTTTGTACTGTATTAGATTAATACAAACGTGGAACCGACGTTTCATGCCGTGATCTTTTGTCGGACTGTTTTCCGGGCCGCACGTGCATATAAATACTTTCACCGGAAATACTACGTTCTCTTCCAGCGATCCAACATGGTGGTGAGTAGCACATCAGTGCATACGAATGAACCGCTACGAAGACGCCGTCGAAATCCGCAAACATCGGAGCTGCGGACACGTATGAGCGGCCGTTTCGTTCACGGATAATTAGATACTCTTATCTTCGAAATATCTGAAGTCGTATTAAACGACGATTGATGGTTTTAAATTCCCGGAAATATGGAAAGTGGCTAAGGCTAGTTGCTGGAAAATGGAGCCCAAACTTCGCTACTCGTAAACAAGAAAAGTTGACGTTTATTTCGCGGTTCCCAGCAACGGGTCAAGTAGACCTTTGCGTTGTTTATTTATTTTGATATGACAACAACATGTCGCTTTTAGCCTACCTCCGTTGCGCGTTAGTGCTATATGGTGAAGCGAGCAGCGGGGATTTGTCGGGACATGTACGCCAATGGTTCCAAACCTTTATTGAACCAAGCACATCTTTCACATTAGAAAAATCTTAAGCCACACTTTCAAATAAAAAGGACTCTGCCTATATACCGAAGTAATGAACCCAATTAACGCTTAGCTTGAAATCTGGGAACTGACAATAGGTGGTTTTATTTCTTAAATATGCTTAATTTTCTTGAAGAGCATTGGTTGTTCTGCTTGTCTTTATACGTTCCTGTCATAGATGACGAATTAATAAAATATAATTTTTGATCCTCGAAATGTGCAGGCAGACGTGCATAGCAGTGAGCTGTTATTGTCTCTCTTGCTGAAATGCGTCCATTGTTTTTTATCAGGAACAAGGTGAGAAGAAGGAGAACTCCATGAGGGAGTTGCGCATCCGCAAGCTCTGTTTGAACATCTGCGTGGGGGAAAGCGGCGACAGGCTGACCCGAGCCGCGAAAGTGCTAGAGCAGCTTACAGGACAGACTCCCGTCTTCTCCAAGGGTGAGTGGTCCGGCTGCCAAACCAACGGGGATGACGGCACCTTTTGCGGCATTGCAAGCTAAAGTTGAATGTTTTTGTCTTTCAAAAACCCCGAAAGAGATGAAGCAAAAGCATTGTTTGATGTCAGCAGATCATTGGTGCACCACAAGGGATTTGCAACGCTGCAATCAGAAATGGAACTTTATTTGATTTTAAAGTCAAATGTTCCTCACAAAAAAAGTTTAGTTTATTCCTAAAAAAAATATATATATATATATTTTTTGATAATCACCGCAAACATGCCAAACTTCCCAAGTGTGGACATTACCAGATTCCCCGCGGTCTTGAACGTAGCATGTGAGCTACAAAGCGAGACGGGTTGGATAATGACAATGAGTCACCCTTGCTTGCTTTTTTTTCCACCTCTCATCTTTTGCCTGTTTGTTGCAGCTCGCTACACCGTGAGATCGTTCGGCATCCGCAGAAATGAGAAGATTGCCGTCCACTGCACCGTCCGCGGCGCCAAAGCCGAGGAGATCCTGGAAAAAGGACTCAGGGTGTGTTGGTGTGTGCGCGCGCGACTGACAATCACAAGCTGAGATGTCACTTTCTACTCCCTTCTCTTATGTTCAATATTTGACGCTGCCTTCTCCAAAATGTCTTGAAATCAGCTTCTCAGAGGTCCCATGGGGGCCATGCCGCAAAGTCGACTTTTTGTCGTGGGCGGAATATGAACCGTTTGGCTATGAAAAGACTTTCAAGTGAAGCGTCACTTTGTGCTGCAGGTGCGTGAGTACGAGCTGAGAAAAAACAACTTCTCCGACACCGGAAACTTTGGCTTTGGCATCCAGGAGCACATCGACCTGGGTATCAAGTACGACCCCAGCATCGGCATCTACGGACTCGACTTCTACGTGGTACGTAGACTTGGGGCGTGGGCTCGTCTTTGGATCTTGGGTCGGCTTAATTTTTTGTGATTAAACTGTCGCGTTCAGGTTCTGGGGCGACCAGGTTTCAGCATCGCTGACAAGAAGCGGAAACGCGGCCGCATCGGCTTCAAGCACCGCATCCGCAAAGAGGAGTCCATGCGCTGGTTCCAGCAGAAAGTCAGTGCAGCACACGCCCCACGGAAGTTGTCCAAATAACGCCGCTTGATAACCGCTCGACCTTGCTATGTCTTCTGTTCTTGTTTCAGTACGATGGCGTCATCCTCCCTGGCAAGTAAAGGACCACCTGGAACATCTTTGTAAGAAAGTAATAAAAATTAGAAAAGATTAGACGGGTCCTGTCTTTATTTTCATTGCTGTAGTCATGAGTGGTCTTGATCAGAAAAAGAGTCACGAATGTGCAAATAATTGCACAGATTTGTACTGATGTTGCTTGTTGCTTGCTGGCACTAAGTTCGATTTAAGTTTGGTTACTTTTGTCTTTTAAAAAAAAATGTACATATAAATGTCTTACGAATTCTGTCAGTGAATGTGTGGCTTTCAAAACCTGATTTAATGTGAGCTTCATTTCCAAGCACGCTGTTGTGAGGATAAAAGAAGGCAGTTTTTTTTTTCTTCAGTTTGGCTTTTATTCGGTGAAACCTCAAAATGTGAGTTGATTTTTCTGATAAGTCACGTTGGCGTCTCACTGTAGTTCACACAATGTTTCACTTTTATTTTTTTTTGTGGCACGACTTTATTCTTCCTCTTTTATAATGTCATAAATAATACATGAAATTTTTCCTTTCCAATGTAGTCTCCTGTGCTGACATCGAAGGCTCTGTGACCCTCAGAGACACAACAACCAAAGTGATATTCTGGTCTTTGGGCCGATTGGCTCCACATTGCAACCGCTTCAGATTCTTCTTCCCGTTTTCATCTTTTGTCATCCTCTCTTCAGCTTTCTGCTTCCTCGCTCTCGGGAGATTCCCTCTCCACAAATATTTCTCATTTTCATCCCTCTGAGAACATGCCGGACCCACAACTGCTCCTTCTTGATTCATCATCTTTTTTTTTTATTTTTATTTTTTTTAGGAGAGTGATTTTTCGTACATTTGATAATGACGACTTTAATCTTTAATTTTAGCCAAATGTAGTTTTTAAGGGACAAGCCGAAAGTCACATGCATTTTATTACGTAGAGATTATTAAAAAAATATTTTACCACTTTTTTTTTTAACTGGCCTTCTGTCTTTTTTTGTTGTTTTTTTTTTTTAAAAATTTTTTTTTTCTTTTAGCTTTTGACCATTTGCCCTAATTTGTTTTTTTGTATTTTATTCATATCCTATTATTATTTCCCCTCAGGCGGTTGTAGTTTGAATCCTGCTTGCTGGTAATTCTTTTTAGATTTGGATTATTAACCATAATCTGATGTTTTTTATTTCAGATTTATTTATTCATCCTCATTTTGATATCATTTTCTAATGTTAAGATTTGGAGTTTAGCCCCAATTGAATCTGTTCTCTTGCATTGCAGGACTTTGAGGATGATTTACCCCAAATTAATGATTTCGTGCTTTATTTTTTTTTAAAGGTTTTGATTACCCTAATTTGAGCCACTGGGAATTTGACTGGGCCAATTTCATTTCTGCAATTTTTCAATGGAGATGAAAAAACTTTTTTATTTTTTTTTTTTAGGAAGGGCATTTTTTTCTGATGACTTCTCTCAATCAAGGGTCAGTTCCTATTTTGACCTGTAGGGAGCAGTCAGCACTCTTCCTGATCCACTTCTGCAACAACTGGGCCAACTCCCCTTTCCAAGATGGCTGCCCCATGAAACTGCACTTCACCAGTATAAACGGCCCGGAAAGTGAGATTCCAAGCTTGAAAGACCACTTGTAAAGTCGGTCGCACTTTAGCTTGGGTGCTGTCGCCTCTGTATGTTACAAGTGAATGTAATCATGACATTTGTGACGACTGGTTGGATTTAGACCATTTCTTAGCAAAAGTGTTATTTTTATTCTTTTTTTTTCCTAATTGTAATTTGTTTCTTTCGGGCAGAATTGATGACTAGGATTGCACCCATGACACGGAAGACAATCACAGCATCTCGTTTGTAAGTGAAAGTGCAAGC